CATCGACGACTGCGGGCTGAGCTCCACCAGGACTGTTCGGGAAGCGATTAAAAATATAGGTTCTACCGCCAAGGAGCTCCAGAGGGCGATTGTTGAAGATATGGGGGCCACAATTTCCGAGGACAAAGCTTCCCTGGTGTCGTCGTCGTTATCTGTGGCTTCTGAGCTCCGGTCCCATCTTGTGGGCCTATTCGTTCTTCGGCGGTCAATCTGAGGATCGATGATGCCGCCGGTAGGCCTCGTCGCGCGGCTCGACGTGGCAAACAAATCGGCGTTAGGAGGCGCATTCTCAAGAATCGCGCAAAACGGTGTGCGCATTTCAAGTGAGCTGTCGGACATCACGCCATTTGGATTTTTACCGCAGGACCTATGCCGAGCTTCACCTACGGTGCGGAGATGCACGGCCTCTCCACCGCCGAGTGGCGCCAGCTGCAGGTTGCTTCCGCCAGCGCAATGCAGTCTTCTGCGGGATCTCGCTCACGAACGTCAGTGCTCATCCTGTATGGGGTACCTACATGGCATGGTGGCGTTGCTCCCATCGTGCGGTACGCCGAGGAGATTTGGGCCAACCAGACCCGCCTTTACCCATTCGTGATTCCTCGGGGCGAACTCCGAGACTCCCGGGCCACAGTTTTGCCGTCGACGTGGAGGGGTGTTTCGGGCCCCCTGAGTGCGATGAACCGTTCCTTGCAACGCTTGGGATGGTCGATGCCATCCTAAATGCACCGTTCTCCTTGACGATTTCGGTATTGAAATACCCCTCACTGAAGTGTCTCCTGGAATGTCGTGCAAACTCTTGCGTGCTGCGGTGAAGCGCATGCACGAACGTGAATCAGGTTCCAAGCTTTTGCCTGGCATTCCAGGGCCACGAGTTTGTCATGACACTGTTTCGGCTGAGCTTAGGCTTTCCCAGCGTGCCAGGTATCAGAAACGTTGCATCAAATCAGTGTCATATTCGGCGGTCTGGACTCGTGCACGGGCGAAGCAGGCAGGCTACGACGTCGGCGACTTGTGCGAGCTTTGCCTGGAGGGCAGGGACACCATCTTGCACGGGCTTTAGCGATGCACGGTGGTGCAGACCGAGCGTGAAGAGTCTCTGTCCAGGCTCAAAGGCGGGTTCGATATGTTCCCTCCCCCTGATCGTTCTGAAGCCAAGGAGGAAGGATTCCTCCTCTACACCAGGGGATTGTTTCGACACCCTGGCGACGTGCTGCCCCGCCCTGCCCGCGGTGATACTGATGACCATGGTTTTGAGGTTCGTTGGAGGGGTTACCCTGAGAAGACTAGTTTCGAATATTTGCGAGGACGCATCTTCGTCGACGGATTCAGTATTTCCCACGCCATTCCTGAACTATCCAGGGCTTGCTGGGGGGGGGTAGTAATGTCCAAAACCGGTTAGAAAATGATGACCCCCCTTCCCCCCCCAGATCCCGACTGCCATTAATTCGCATCCAGAGAACTATTTTTTATTTGTCCCCCTGGACAAAAATTCCATGGATGTCGATCGATGCCACTTGTATACATCTCGGTACCAGGGAGAATGCCGATGGGGATGTTCCCGTCTTCCGATCAGAGAATGAGTTTTTACATTGGATGTTTGCCATTGGGTTTTGGAGTTCAACATCGCTTCCGTGGTATATAATCTATCAGCGGTATGCCGCCGCCGCGCGCGCGCGCGCGCGCGTTGGCGATTGGCAAGTGTGCATTCCGTGTCGTATATTCACATGGGGATGTTCCCGTCTTCCGATCAGAGAATGTTTTTTGTTATATTGGTTTTCGCCACTGGAGTTTGGAGTTCAACTTCGCTCCCGTTGTATAGAATCTATCAGCTGCATGCCGCCGCCGCGCGCGCGCTGGCGATTGGCATTTTTTGCATTCAGCGTCGTATATCCACATGGGGATGTCCCCGTCTTCCGATCAGAGAATGGATTTCTACATGGGGTTTTCAACATGGGGTTTTGAATCTCACATTGCGTCCCGTTATATAGCATCTATCAGTGGCATGCCGCCGCCGCGCGCGCGAACTTTTGCCCCGTTGTATAAGACCTATCAGCGGCATGCCGCCGCCCCGCGCGCGTTGGCGCTTGGCATTTTTGCAGTCAGTGTCGTATATCCACATTGGGGTGTTCCTGTCTTCCGATCAGAGAATGATTTTTCATATTTGGTTTTTGCCATTGGGTTTTGGAGTTAACCGTCGCCCCCGTTGTGCAAAATATATCAGCGGCGTGCCGCATTTGCGTATTCAATGCCGCTTCGCAACCCAGACAGGGTGCGGGGTGCGCAGGGAGTGGTCCCTGAGCGCAGTGTCTATCCACGCTGGGGTCGCAGGGCGTGGCAGGCGTGGCCTGACGCCAAGAGGGGGTGCGCAGGCATCTCCCCCTGCACGCAGGGCGCCAGGGTTGTCGCGGGGACGTCTCCATCGGTCCAGTTTGCCCCTCCCCCCTTTTGTTTTCTATAGGCGCACTGCAGCGCAGGGGGAAACCATGTTTTAACCTGTCCCCCTTAAACAATTTGTTTTCAGCAGTTCTTAGACATTAGTAGATGATGAGGCGAACGAGCCCCCCCGCTTTAATGGGCCAGTCTGGGCGCCGTACCTTCAAACGGCCCAGGCAGGTGAGTTCGGCGCCTGCGCTGTGGCCGCAATGCGCGCCCTTCGAGGTTATTCCATCTATTCCGACTGCAAGACCGTAGTTGTTCAAGCGAATGAACCTTCAGTCCGAGCGTTGTGCTACACGGTACCTTATGCGGGCTTTTTGCTTCCCACTCACTGCAAGGTGGTCGACGGCGTTTTTAAGGTTAGAGCCCACGTTGCCGATTCGTCAGATTTAAGTACGCGCGAACGTTTCTTCAATGAAGGGAATGATTTGACTGACGTTGTCGCCGAGAACGCGCTGTCTAGACACCCCGAGCCCAACTTCGAGGAGACGCAATGGCTTGACCGCGTGCTGAAGGTACCCAGCGCGGCTGCCAATCCTGAAAAGGGTTGCGTTGGAGAGGTCGGCTAAACCCACTCAGCCGAAACACATTGGTTCAGACCACAGCTGGGTGCGCGTTTCAAGCTTCTGGTGGTGTGGAATTGGTGTAAGGGTGTCCAAAGGCGTCAGGGCTCCAGAGTCGTTGGGTTCGAATCGCCAGGCCACTGTCCTTCGGAAGCACCGTTGTTTAGCGCTCGCTTGCTCTGATAATGCGTTGCTGGTCTTGTGTACGATATGTAAAGCATACACCAGCCACGGCCACCCTTGGAATGTGTCTGGGAAATGTCATGGTGTTCCGCAATCCAATGGAGTCAAAAGCGCCAGGTCTTCCATTTGCAAAAGGAAACATTCGAAAATGCAAGAGGTTACCGTTGAGCGTGGCCCCTGGTCTGTCATTTGATGCTTTTGTTTTTTTTTGTATTTGCTCGTGCCACCCGGTGGAGGTTCGAGAGCTTCTCTTGCTGCGAGGTCCTCTGCAATTTTTTGGCGGGGCCCCAAGCTCCCTCGGTACAGGAGAGTGGCCTGGGCTACTCCGTGCGTTCATTGGCGGTTGATGTCAAACAAATCTTCCTCCTCCTCCTCCTCCTCCTCCTCCTCCTCCCTCTCTCCGCCTCGAGCCATCCTCTTCGATCCTCCTGTCGGCCTTGGTTGAGACATGACGGTCATGCCTGAATCAGTTGAGATCGCTACGTGTCTATACTGCCAGAGTTGGCCTTCCTTTGCTGGCTGTAACCTGGCAGGCCCCGGGTTCATTTTCCGACCGATTTTTACAGTCAAGCAGGATTCGGTGTGGTTCGTCTGCATTTGGAGGCCTGGCTTCGTTCTGGCATCCGTTGTCGTCCTTTGGCGAGCACTAGCAACATTATAAGCTCACATAAGCGGCCTTAGTCGTGGGATGGTGCGAACTGTCACACTGCTGGGCCCCATCGTGTAGGTTAGCACTCAAGCACTGGAGGCAGTGATGTATTGCGTTCTGAGCGAAGGCGTTGGCCCTCCACTTTACCGCAAACGCTGACGCCCAGTCATAAATTTAGTGCCAAAAAACCGACTGAGAATTATGCAAAGGGAGAAAGATATTAACGGTTTCGTGGGACCAATGGGGTACGACAACATCAACACGAAGGAGAAGGCCATCGAACGAGTAAGTACGCACGAAAGGGCAGACGAAAGAAAGGAGCAGGGAGGACAGGTGCTCAGGAAACGAAGCCTTGTAAATAGTACGGTTTCTTAATGCCCTCCTCGCTCTGGCGGGCTCCGCTGGAAGGGGGGAGGGGCACGAAACCATGTAAATAGCATGGGTTTCCGATACCCTCCTCGCTCAGGCGGGGCCTCCCTGGAGGGGTGGGAGGGGCACGAAGCCATGTAAATAGTATGGGTTTCCGATACCCTCCTCGCTCAGGCGGGGCCTCCCTGGAGAGGTGGGAAAGGCACGAAACCATGTAAATAGTATGGGTTTCCGATACCCTCCTCGCTCAGGCGGGGCCTCCTTGAGGGATGGGGAGGGCACGACACCATGTAAATAGTATGGTTTTCCGATACCCTCCTCGCTCAGGCGGTGCCTCCCTGGAGGGGTGGGGGGAGCACGAAACTATGTAAATAGTATTGGTGTCCGATACCCTCCTCGCTCAGGCGGGGCCTCCCTGGAGGGGTGGGAGGGGCACGAAACCATGTTAACAGCATTGGTGTCCGATACCCTCCTCGCTCAGGCGGGGCCTCCCTGGAAGGGTGGGAGGGGCACGAAACCATGTAAATAGTATGGTTTTCCGATACCCTCCTCGCTCAGGCGGGGCCTCCCTGGAAGGGTGGGAGGGGCACGAAACCATGTAATTAGTATGGTTTTCCGATACCCTCCTCGCTGAGGCGGGGCCTCCCTGGAGATGTGGGAAGGGCACGAAACCATGTAATAGTATGGTTTTCCGATACCCTCCTCGCTCAGGCGGGGCCTCCCTGGAAGGGTGGGAAGGGCACGAAACCATGTAAATAGTATGGGTTTCCGATACCCTCCTCGCTCAGGCGGGGCTTCCCTGGAGGGGTGGAAATGGTATTGATATGGGAGGCGGGAGGCGGCAGGGAGAAGGAGATGATGTTCTGGGAAAACAAGAAACCCACTCAGGATGTGGGGAAAAAGGTGGTTCGGTGCAAGGGAGACGGGAGAAGAGGGAGGGGGATGGTGATGGGCAGGGGAGAAGAGGGGATGGATGATGAGAAGGGGAGGTCTTCCGATGTCGTCGGTGGTGTCTGTTCTTCAGGTGCCTGCAGGGATCGAGTGATCGCTGGCATGGATGGCGTTGGAAATCGGCCCAGCCAGAGAAAGTGCTGGTTTGGGGAATGAGGGCTGCGGGCGCTGATCTCTCGTGAATCCTGAACGGGTCGGGACCCTGAGTGCGAGGACGGGCCCATCAGTCGCCCCATACACAATTCGCAAATCGACGTTCTCACGCATTGAACATTCCTCTCGCCCAATTCTGTTTTCGTGCTTTGCTGGGCTGTGCCCGTCCTCGCGCCCGATTCTGGTTCGGCCCTGACGGTGGGGCGCTGGCCGCCATGGCCGGACGCGGCTCGAACAAGCGCCTGGCGGGGCGCCTCTTTGAGGGGGGGGACTGCGTCTGAGTGGACTCCTTAGGGGCAACGTTAGGGTGGATAGGCTCAGAGGGGGGACGCATCGGTCCCCAATCGCACATTTCTCGCCGACTGGGCCCCGACAGCTCACCCTGCCAAGGAAGAGGAGATTTTGCTATCTGGGGCCTATCGCCGACCTGCGGCGATGTACCGCCGATTCCAGGTCGGTGTTTCCCCCTCTGAGCCGGTCCCCCCGTATCGTCCCCCCTCTGCTCGTCCCTTGGCGACTGTCTTTGGTGGCTCAATTCGCGCTCAGGCCAAGGCCCCCGCAGTGACCTTCTTGTCGTTCTTTCGACGCGGCACCAGCTGCCTGCTAGCCTATTTCGCTTCTGGTGGCAGCCTGGATCGCGCTGGTCGCGCCAGGCCCCTCTCCGGTCCCCAACAGAGCAACTTAAGCAGCGGATAGCATGGCACTGTGGTTCAAGTCTTTGAGCACGATTGTGATGTCGGCAGGCACCAGGCTACTCGCAGTGCCGTGCAGAGCGAAGTCACATGCGCTACGGTGACAATCTCCTGAAACTGCTGCGGCACAGGCCGCAATGCGACATGGTTGGAATGTCTTCGGATCTTCCGTTCTTTGTGTCCGCGGAGCCTCTTTATTTGTTTTGGGGAGGTCGATGTTTCCGCGCGAACTGCAGGTTCCAGCACTAGGACTTTGTGAAGGACATTCGTGCCCTCTTCGCAATCTTCCCTCCGATGCCTATAACCGCTCACCTCTACACGAACAGTGCGGTCCTCGAGCAGAAACTTTCTGTTCACGCAGTCGGCGTAAGTTGCCCCCTCCCCCCGCGTATGCTTCGAGGAGGCGGTGGAGCAGAACGAGGAAAACGACAGCATGTGTGTATCAACGTGGAAGCGGATACGGGGGAGGAGAAAGGGCTACGCAGGTCACCCGCATGGGCGCGAAGATGGCCGCGCCTGGTGGCTCGCGGCCGGTGCCGGAGAGAGTTTTTTTGTTCTCTCTCTCTCTCTCTCTTGGGGGGCGGCGCGGGAGCGCTGAGGGGCAAACCACAGCGCGTGCACCGCGGTGCGCGAGGCGCGAAGCCGAGTGGCCTGGACAAGGAGGAGGAGGAGGAGGAGGAGGAGGAGGAGGAGGCGGACGAATGTATGGGAGGAGGCGGGCGAGGAGGTGGATGAGGTGGAGGAGGAGGAGGAGAATGAGGAAGAGGGCGAGGAGGAGGAGGGCGAGGAGGAGGAAGAGGAACATGAAGATGAGGAGCAGCAGCAGGAAATGCAGTAGGAGTTGGAGTAGGAGTCAACTTAGCCAGGTCGAGCGAGTCAGAGGGCCCCCCGCATCCCCACCCTCCCTCCCACAACATAATAATCAAGTGTAGCACAACTTGACCTTGGGATCATGATATGATGCCGCCTCGCAAACGGAAGGCGCTCGCGCGCGGCCCCGCTTCCGACGACTTCGCGGAATGGAAGCTACGCGGGCCGCGCAGGGGCGGGAACGGCAAAACTCCTGATGGGGCGATGAGTCGCCCACAACAATTTGGTGAGTGAGCGATACGCACCGCGCCGAGGCGGGAGCGCCACTCTCAGGCGAAAAAATTCTGCGGTGCCGGAACGAGAGCTACATGTTCTCGCGCGGCGGCGAAGTGGCGTGCGAAAAGTGTGCGCCGCGCCCCAGCGGAAACTCAAATCCGCGCATCGCCGAGGCGAGCGCGACATTTCGGCCTTTCGCGCTGGATGTGCGCCCCGTCCTATTCGCGCCACGAAATTTGCAACATGTGCGGCGTAATGTCTATGCTGAGGCATACATCGTCGACCTGTATGGATCACGCGTAGGATGAGGATTCGTAAGGGCCCCCATCGGCTGGCTGGGGTGGAGAGCAGGGGTGTCTATCGATGCGGACTACGGGGAACAGCAGCAGGAGCAGTGGGGCGGGAGCGGGAGGGGAGGCGTAGGTGGAGGAACGGGGGGCCAGGGGAGGGGGAGCGAGGAGGGGGAGGGGGGAGAGAGGCGGGCGGGTAGAAGCAAGAAGGTGTGTATATATATATAGAGAGAGAGAGAGAGAGAGAGAGAGAGAGAGAGAGACAGACAGACAGACCAGACAGAGAGGGAGACGGGAGGGGAGGGAGGGGAGGGGGCAGGGCGGGGGATAATATAGTCGGTCGTCGAAGGGGGGCACCCCTCCTCTGCCGTCACGGCTGGGCGGCGGCTCCGCGAGCGGATGCGCACTCGGAGTGGAATTGCCCGTGTTGTCGCCCTTCTCTCCCCCCCTCCTGTTTTTCCTCGCTCCTTCTTCCTCCCTTTTCTTTCTCCCCCCCCTTCTCCCATCCTCGTCCTTCTTGTCCAGGAAGAGGAGGAGGTGGAGGAGGAGGAGGAGGAGGAGGAGGAGGAGGAGGAGGAGGAGGAGGTGGAGGACGGAGCCCGCGCCTGGGCCCGCGCCCCGCCCCCCCCCCGCCCCATGGCCCCCGATCCGCCCCTGGCTCCGGCTCCGCCTCGAGCAACCCGCTCGGGGGCGGGCTGCTGGGCCCCCGCAACAACTTCCCCTTCCCCGTTCCCGTGCCCCCCCCCCCCCTCTTCTCCCTCCCCCTCCCTGCCCCCCCCTCTTCCCCTCCCTCTCCCCTCTCCTGGCCCACCCCCTCTCCGGGCCTGCGGTGCTCCTCTCGGCGGCCCCGCCCGAGGCCCAGAATAAAAGCCAAGACGACGCCGTCGTGACTCATGTTCCGGGGCTCCGCCGGCCGCCCGGGCGTCACCCGGGGGGTCGGGGGGCGCCAGGGCCCAGCCCGCGAGACGGCCATGCGAGGGGGCCAAAGGCGGCGCCCGGTGGCCCCGGGAGGCCCAGCGCGCGGCTGGCGGCGAGGCGTCCAGGACAACCCAGCGGGCACGGCGGGGATCGGACCGGGGCGCGGCGCGGCAGGCCCGATCCCCGACGGCCCCCCGGGCAGTCTCCGGCGCGTCCCATGCGGGCCCGCGGTGGGCGGCCCGGGGCAGCGTGGAAGCCAGGGGGTAGGGGAGTGGGGGTGCGCGGCTGCCACGGGGCGCCTTGAACAGCGCCGGCCCCGCGGCGGCGGCCTCTCCCCATGGTCCCCTCCAGCGGTCCCTGGCCCTCAGCCCGCCCCGCATCATGGTAACCCAGACGGAGGCCCAGAAGAAGAGTGCGCAGCCCCCGGCGGGCATCCAGCGCATTCCCCGCATGTCCGCGCCATGGGGTGTCCTACGGGCGGGCTGCGAAGGGCGCTGAGTCGTTGGCAGACCCTCGGGGACAGCCCTGTATATCCTTACAATACAGCCTTCACGTGTCTGCCCGGGGGGCCCGCGGCGGGTAGAAGACCGCTGGCGGCATGCGGTCGAAAGGAAAAAAGGAGGAAAGAGGAAGAGGACGAGGAGGAGGAGGAGGAGGACGGGAAAGGAACGAGGCAGAGATATGAGGGGCGGCAAATGAGTAGGCAAGGAGCTGTACGACTCGGAATAACAGGAGGAGTATTCCTTCGCGGCGAGGGGTTCGGCGGAGATCCCCTCAGCGGCCGCAGCTGCCCTTGGTGCCTCACCCAACTCCTCGGGCGCGTCGCCGTGGAAGTGCTGCGCTTGCTCAACGTATTCGCGCTACGGTGGGGGCGTTGGTTGAGGAATGTGCCCAGGAGGCTTCAGACCCAGAGAAATTCCTCATCCGATGAAGGCGGCGATGATATCCATGGCGATGCCCCAATGGGTGTTGTACCCAGATTTCAGGCTCGGGGTTCCCTATTCAAGAGTTCCTTAGTCAACGCCCTCACCGTATTGGTCTTGTTACTCCAGCTGGGCGTCCGCAAGCGTAATGCTACTCTTCGGCGACAGGCCTGCAATCATGCACCTGATCATGCGCCCGCTGCCACTTGTATGTGGATGCTGACGGCGACTCGGGTGATGATGGTGACAGTGATGGTGATGCTGAGTATGTCAACGGCGATGACGAGACCGTTGAAGATGCCGGTTGTGAGGCTGTTGCTGATACGTGTGATGTGATGGCGGCGATTTTCATGTTGACTGCTACGTTGGCGGACATGATGATGAGGATGGTGATGCTGACGATGCTGAGTACGAGGGCCATGGCGGTGATGCTGCTGATGATGCCGTTGTCGATGATTGTGATGGTTTCATTATGTCCTGGCGATGATGCGATCTGTGAGGCTAACGCTGACGATGACGATATGCGGTTGATAGTGGCTATGCTGATGGTGATGGTGGTTGCTTTGGGACGTGTGTCCGGGATGACGGTAATGAGGAAGACCAGGAGGATGCGGATAATGATTATGATAAGGAAGAGGTCGACGAAGAAGACGACAGCTGATGATGAGGATGTGGTATGTGGACGGGGATGAGGACAACTAAGATGACATACGATGAGGTTGACGATGTTAATGTTGTTGTTGCTGTCGTTGATTACGTGGATGTTGATGTTGGCAATGATAGTGGTCATCATGCTGCTGGTGCTGGTGATGATGGGGTTAATGATGATGACGACGACGGCGACGATGATGATGCAGCTGATGATGATGCGATGCTGGTGATGATTGTAATGCTGCTGCTGATGATGACGATTGTGATGGTGATGATGCCGATGATGATGATGACGACGAAGGCGATGACGATGACGATGACGACGACGATGACGACGACGATGTGATGATTATGATGATGCTGCTGATGCTGATGCTGCTGATGATGATGACGATGATGATGACGACGATGATGTTGACGACGATGATGATGATGATGATGATGATGATGATGATGATGATGATGATGATGATGAGGATGATGATGATTCCAATGATGATGATGATGATGATGATGATGATGATGATGATGATGATGATGATGATGATGATGATGAGGATGCTGATACTGATGATGATGCTGCTGATGCTGCTTATGGTGCTGCTGCTGATGGTGACGCTTATGATGCTGACGCTGATGATTCTGCTGACGATGGAGATGGTGATGTTGCTGCTGGTGATGATGATGATGATGATGATGCTGGTTATGAGGATGATGATGCTGCTGCTGCTGCTGCTGATGATGATGATGATGATGATGATGATGATGATACTGCTGTTGCTGCTGATGATGATTGCTGCTGATGATGCTGATTCTGATGATGATGATGATGATGCTGATGATGAAGATGTTGATGCTGATGCTGCTGATGATGATGATGGTGCTGATGAAGCTGATGATGCTGATGATGATGCTGATGCTGATGATGACGATGAGGATGATGATGATAATGCTGATGAGGATGATGTTGATCTGATGATTCGGATGACGATGTTGAGGATGATGAAGCCGCTGCCGCTGCTGCTGCTGCTGCTGCTTATGATGCTCACGATGCTGCTGCTGTTGTTGATGATGCTGATGATGTTGATGCTGATGATTATGATGATGATGATGATGATGATGATGAGGATGAGGATGAGGATGAGGATGAGAACAAGGATTAAGGATGAGGATGATGGTGATGATGACGATGATGACGATGATGCTGATGATGATGATGCTGATGATGATGATGCTGATGATGATGATGACTGATGATGATGATGATGATGATGATGATGATGATGATGATGATGATGATGATGATGATGATGATGATGATGATGATGATGATGATGATGATGATGATGATGATGATGATGATGATGATGATGATGTGATGACGACGACGACGATGATGATGATGATGATGATGAGGAGGAGGATGGAGGAGGAGGAGGAGGAGGAGGAGGAGGAGGAGGAGGAGGAGGAGGAGGAGGGAGAGAAGGAGGAGGAGGAGGAGGAGGAGGAGGAGGAGGAGGAGGAGGGGTCTGAGGACAAGGAAGATCAGCAGGAGGGCGATGGGGGACCGCTGCTCCAGGACCGCGCTAGCACCGCGGGCGCGCGGCGCGACCTGGGCACGGCGAAGGGCGGGCGCCGCAACCCGAGATGCCCCCCCCCGCCGCGGCCGGCCAGGGCCGCCAGCCGCGCGCGCGCCGTATAAACGAAGCGTGCCTCGGCCGGGCCACTCCGCGCGAGGGAGGGAGTGGGGGAAGGAGGGGTCTGGGGTCCCCGCTCTCCTCCTCTCCTCCTCTCCTCTCTCCTCTCTCCTCTCCTCTCCTCTCCTCTCCTCTCTCCTCTCCTCTCGTCTCGTCTCCTCTCCTCTCCTCTCCTCTCCTCTCCTCTCCTCTCCTCTCTTCTCCTCCTTCCTGCTTCAAGCTTCGAGTTGTGGACGGGTCTACTGCTGCTGCTGCGAGCTGGTGCCTTCGCGGTTGCCTCGCCCCTCGCCCGTGTCTCGCCAGCAGACAGTGCTGGGAGTGAGAGCAAGGGCGCGTGTTAAGCGTGGGCCGCTTGCGCCCGCGAAAGAGGGGGTTCCCTGGAGGCAGAGCGGTGGGAAGAGCGAGATTAGGAGGGGGGAACGTGAGGAAGAGAGAGAGAGAGAGAGAGAGAGAGTGGGGGAGCGGGAGAAAGGAGGGGCAGCAAGCGCGACGGAGGAGGAGGGGGGAGAGGGAGAAGGACCCCCCCCGAACACCATGATGCTTTTGCCAGAGCCCCCATCCAAAAGGGAGCAGAGGAGGAAAGGGGGGGGGGGAAAGGGAACGGCGGAGGGAGGAGGGGGGCGGAGAGAGGGCGGGCGCCCTAAGAGTAGTTTCCGTCCGCGCAGCTGCTCGAGCTCTCTGCGGAGGACGGGGCCGCCACCGATCTGCGCGACCTCTGGGTGGCCGTCCGCTCCAAGGGGGCCCCTGTGGCGGCTGGGGCTCGTGAGGACAACGGCTGGGGCATCGACCCTGGTTCCGCATGAAAGTTCGGCAGGGTCACTGGCGCAGCCGCTCAAGCTCACTGCCAGCGGCCAGAACCAGCTCAGAGGCAGGCGCGAGCTCCGCCACGTCACGCATCACGGACGATGACAACCGCGACGTCTGTGCTGGCTGTCTGGTTTCGGATGTCCGAGTGGGGCATCCGTAAAGCAGATGGCAATCAGAGTTTGCATATACGTGTTGAGATGCGCGCAAGCAGGTAGGAGCGAACCGTCTTGAAATGATGGTTGACTTCTCACTTTTGACATTATTTTTGTTGATCCCCCCTCCGGCGCACATTGCATTTTCCCATTGAAGTGCCCTTCCCCGGGATCCCACTCCTTTTTTACCATGGAAAGTTTTGAGGGTCAAACTGGCCCCCTGGGCCCCCGAACGACAACAACAACGGCTCCCGCTTGAAACGTCCTTACAATTTGTTGCAAGATCGTGCTCTCGCGCGGGACCTCCACACAATCTATGCACCAACCGCGCTCTTGCGTGGGACTTCCTTGTATTTTATTCAAACGCCGCGCCCTCGGCACTCAGGAAGCACGCTCTCGCTCCGGCTTTTCTCACGACTTGCTTAGGAAACGCGCTATCGCTCGAGACTTGCTCGCGATTCATGCAGGACGCCTGCTCGACCTTGCCGCCTGGGTCCGCCTTCCCGACCCGTCCGCTAGGGTCTGCCCGCCCGCCCGTCTGGTACTGCCAGGTGTTTTCTGCTCCTCGTCCCCCTCCTGCTACTCTCGTGCTCCATTCTTCTTCCCCCTTCCATCCGTCCTCTGGTTTTCTGTTCCAGGGGCTGCGCTGAATCCACGTGGCAGGTAGGGAAGATATGCCCCCGAGGGGGTACGATCGAAGACGAAGAGGGCGGGTACCGAGGGTTTGGGATATACGTGTTTAGGGGCACGCGAGCAGATAGGAGCGAATAGTCTTGAAATGATTGTTGAATTCTCACTCCTGCAGAGTAATTATTGTTGATCCCCTCCCACCGGTGCACACTGTGTTTTTCAATGAATGTGCTCCGTCTGGAGCTCGCACCCTCTTTTATCAGGGAAGGTCTTCCTGCTCAACTGGGCCCCTGGCTCCCAAGTTACAACACGACGGTTCCCGCCGGATACTTCCTTTTTATTTTTTTCCAATATCGCGCTCTCGCGCGGGACCTCCTCACAATGTATGCAGGAATCGCGCTCTTGCATGGGACTTCCTTGCAATTTATTTAGACGCCGCGCCCTCGGCACTCAGGAATCACGCTCTCGCTTTGGCCTTTCTCACGATGTACTTGGGAAACGCGCTATCGCTCGAGACTCGCTCGCGATTCATGCAGGACGCACGGCTCAGCAACCCGCCTGCTCGACCTTGCCGCCTGGGTCCGCCTTCCCGACCCGTCCGCTAGGGGCTGCCCGCCCGATCTGCCCGTCTGGTTCTGCCAGGTCTTTTCGGCTCCTAGCCCCCCTCCTGCTAATTTCTTTCGTGCTTCATCCGTCTCCCTCGCCTTTTCGTCCTCCCGTTCTTCCACTGTTTCAGGGGCTGCGCTGAATCCACATGACAGTTAAGGAAGACTTTCCCCCAAGGGGGGTACGATCGAAAACGAAGATGGCGGGTATCGAGGGTTTGGGATTGACGTGTTGACCAGCGCGCGAGCCGATAAGAGCGATCAGTTTTAAAATGATTATCAGAGTGGGTGGGCCGAACGGTCATGAATGGTCCCTGGGTGTGTGGCTGAAGTGAGAACCGTGATTAGGATTCTGCTCGTTGCGTTGTTGTTGGTGTTGTTGTTGTTGTTGTCGTTGTTGTTGTCGTTGTCGTTGTCGTTGTTGTTGTTGTTGTTGTTGTTGTTGTTGTTGTTGTTGTTGTTGTTGTTGTTGTTGTCGCTGTTGCTGTTATTGTTGTTGTTGTTGTTGTTGTTGTTGTTGTTGTTGTTGTTGTTGTTGTTGTTGTTGTTGTGGTTGTTGTTGTTGTTGTTGTCGTCGTCGTCGTCGTCGTCGTCGTCGTCGTCGTCGTCGTCGTCGTCGTTGTTGTTGTTGAATGTTAATTACTAAACAGTTATTATGGTTGGACCCCTTAAAGGCGCCCTGGCGCTCTCGCCGAGGCGCCGGCTGCATTTTCGTTGAAAATGAGGCTCATTCTCAAGCGGTTTGAGGGACCGCCAAAACCGGCCCCCCTAACAACAACAACGCTCCCGTTCGAGACTTCCTCCTTTTTTAGTCAGGGCCGGTGCTCTTGCTCGCCGCCGAAAGCAGCCGTCTCAACAAAACCAGCGTTCCCGCTCGAAACTTCCTCCCGTTTTACCTTGGACAGGCGCGCTACTCTTTCTCTCATCGGCGCCGCCCCCCAGCAACAAAGACGCTCCCGCTCGAGATTCCCTCCCTTCTTTACTCAAGGCGGTGCCCTTGCTCGCCGCCGACAGCCCCCGTCCCGACAAAAACAGCGCTCCCGCCCGAGACTTCCTCCCGTTTTACGCTGGACTGGCGCCCTTTTCTCCCCTCCTCGTCGTCGTCCTCCTCCTCCTCCTCCTCCTTCTCCTTCTCTTCCTCTTCGTCCTTCTCCTCCCCCTTCCCTCCTCATCCTCCCTCTTCCTCCCTCCCCCCCCTCCTCTTCTCCCTCCTCCCTCCTCCCTCTTCCGTCACTCTTTCCTCCCTCCTCCTCCCTCCCCCCTTCTCCTCCCTCTCCTCCTCCTCTGCCTCCTTATCCTCCTCCTCCTCCTCCTCCTCGTCCTCCCTCCTCTTCCTCCTTTTCCTCTTGCTCCTCCTCATTTTTCTCCTCCTCCTCCTCCACCTCCTCCTCCTCTTCTTCCCCTCCTCCACCTCCTCCTCCTCCACCTCCTTCTCATCCTCCCTCTTCCTCCCTCCGCCCCCTCCTCTTCTCCCTCCTCCCTCCTCCCGCTCCCGTCCTTCTTTCTCCCTCCTCCTCTGTCCTCCTCCCTCCTCATCTCCCTTTTCGTCCTCCTTGTCTCCTCCCTCCTCCTGCCTCGCTCCTCCCTCTTCCCTCCTTCCTTCCCGTTCCGTCCTCCCTCGTCGTTCCCGTCTGATACTTCCTCACCTTTTACTCCAGACTGGGGCCCTCGCTTCGGCATCGCCTCTGGGGGGCTTCCAAAGGGTCCCTGCTGAACCTTAATTCTAAGATAGTTATTATTCCTGGAGAGCATACATAACGTGGAGGTGGAGGAGAAGAAGAAGGACGGATGATGCCCAGGCGCTCCAAGGACCGAGGGTCGGTGTGGAGAGGCAGGTGGAGGATGCGAGCATGGGAGCGGCAGCGCCTGGTGGCGTGAACGTTCTGGGTCACGCGCCGAGGTCGCAGGATGGGTGGCGCAACAGTTCGAACGATGAGTAAAAACCACCTCGTTCTGGGAAGGGTACCCTAATGTTGTTCGGAGGTACGCCCATCGTTTGGGGTGCCTCGATGGGGCCTTCGGCCTTCGGCGGAGGGGTTCTTTCTTGATCCTTCATCTTCCCTCGCCTCCTCGTCCTCTTCCTCCTCTTCCGAGATGCGGGGCGCGCGCAAGGCGATTGCGATGGCGATGTGCCGTCCGAGCTGTGGTTGTCGAAGCTCCTCGGAAGAGGTAGTGACAATGCCTTCTTGGGCGGTTGATCTGGGCGGGGGAATATCGGGCCCCGCGTGCTTGAAGAAACGTCCCCCATGATGGGGTATGGTACCCAGAAGGATGCATGTGACTTGTGGAAGCATGGTGCGTGATGGTGAAATGATTGTTGTTGTTGATGTTGCTGTTGCTGTTGCTGTTGCTGTTGTTGCTGTTGTTGTTGTTGTTGGTGTTGTTGTTGTTGTCGTTGTTGTTGTTGTTGTTGTTATTTTTAGTTGTTGTTGTTGTTACTGTTGTTGTTGTTGTTGTTGTTGTTGTTGTTGTTGTTTGTTGTCGTCGTCCCCCCCCGCGACCCACCCGCGACCCAAAACGCGACCCACCCCGCGACCTACCCCGCGACCCACCCCGCGAACCACCCCGCGACCCACCCGCGGCCCGACCCGTGACCCACCCGCGACCCACCCCGCGACCCACCCGCGACCCACCCCGCGACCCACCCGCGACCCGCCCCGCGACCCATCCGCGACCCATCCGCGACCCGCCCGCGACCCACCCGCGACCCACCCGCGACCCACCCCGCGACCCACCCGCGACCCATCCGCGACCCACCCGCGACCCACCCGCGACCAATCAACGTTGGTTCGAAAAAAAAAATCGGCGCCTGCGGCGGGCTCGTTGTATGATTTGTGAAACTTTGGCGCCGGCGGCGGGCTTTTCCAGAATCTCGTGGACTGCCGACGCCCCCGCTGCCCCATCACTCTTATCCGCATCTGCGGGTTGCTACGTTGTTGTTGCTGCTGCTGTGGGTGTGGCTGTGGTTGTGGTTTTGGTTATGATTGTGGTTGTGGTTGTGGTTGTGGTTGTGGTTATGGTTGTGGTTGTGGTTGTGGTTGTGGTTCTTGTTATTGTTGTCGATGTCACTTTTGAATAATAGCTATTGTTGATCCCCCCTCACCGGTGCATTGTGTTTTGTCTCAATCAAAGTGCGCCCCTCGACGCTCGCACCTGGTTTTTTGACCAGGAAAGTCTTGATGGTCAAACTGTGCCCCTGGCCCCAGGGTTATAACAACAATAGCTCCCGCCTGAGATTTCCGCACAATTTAGCCTGGACCCCCGCTCCCACCCGAAACTTTCTCGTATATTATTCAGGAATCGCGCTGTCGCTTGGGACTTCCTTACAATTTATTCAGGAATCGCTCTCCCAGCGCTCTGGAGTCGCGCTCTCGCTGGAGACTTGCTTACAGGTCACTGAAGAACAGCGCCCTTGCGTTGGAATTTCTTGCAATTTACTCAGGCGCCGCGCTCCCGACACCGAGGCACCCAGGAGTCGCGCTCACGCTTAGGACTCCCTCACTGATTACCTGGGAATCGGCATCTCGCTGCCCTTCGTGGCCCCGTTGCAGCCCTTCGTGGCCCCCTCGCTGTGTTTCGTGGCCCCGTTGCAGCCCTCCGTGGCGCCCCTGCATGCCCTTCGTGGCCTTGTTGCAGCCCCTCGTGGCCCCCTCGCAGCCCTTCGTGGCCCTGTTGCAGCCCTTCGTGGCCCCTTCGCTGTGTTTCGTGGCCCCGTTGCAGCCCTTCGTGGCCCCCTCGCTGCCCTTCGTGGTCCCGTTGCGGCCCTTCGTGGCCCCGTTGCAGCCCTTCGTTGCCCCCTCGCTGCCCTTCGTGGCCCCGTTGCAGCCCTTCGTGGCCCCGTTGCAGCCCTTCGTGGCCCCGCTCGTTCGCGCCCGTGGTGGCCCCATATGCATGCCCTTCGTGGCCCCGTTGTCGCCCTTCGTGGCCCCCTCGCTGCCCTTCGTGGCCCCGTTGCTCCCCTCAGCGGCCCCGTCCTTGCCTTCCGCGGCCCACTATACGTATGCCCTTCGTGGCCCCCGCTCGTCCGCGCCCGTTGTGGCCCCATGGGCATGCCCTTCGTGGCCCCGCTGTCGCCGTTTGTGGCCCCCTCATTGTCCTACGTGGCCCAGTTGCTGCCCTCAGTGGCCCCATCGTTGCTTCCTGTGGCCCCACATTATCTGCCCTTCGTGGCCCCCGCTCGTTCGCGCTCTTCGTGGCCCCATACGCATTCCCTTCGTGTCCCCGCTGTCGCCTTTCGTGGCCTACTTCGTGTCCTTCGTGGCCCTGCTGTCGTTCTCTCTCGCTTTCGCTCGTCGTCGTCGTCGCCGTCGTCGTCGTCGTCGCCGTCGTCGTCGTGGTCAGTCCCCTGTCCGTTCCTCTTGGGGTCGGGTCGACGGTCCGCGGCCGCCCCGCCGATCAGCGCTGCCGCTGGCCAGGCCGACGGTCCGCGGCCGCCCCGCCGCTTGCCGGGCCCCGGCCTGCAGGGAAGAAAGGTATACCCCCAAAAGGGGTTCGATCGAAGATGAAGAGGGCGGGTATCGAGGGTTTGGGAAATACGCGTTATTGGACACTCGAGCAGATAAGGGCGAGCAGTCTTAACATGATTGTTGTGGTTATTGTTGATGATGCTGATGTGTTGTTGTTGAATATTATTACTTCTAAAGAATAATTATTGTTGGGCCCCCTGGTGCACGCCCCCCCTGCGCCGCCTAGGCCGCAGCTACATTTTCATCATTTTCGTGAGGAAGCCTCAGGTAAAACGATGTGATCCAGATCCGGTTGTTTTGTTGTAATCCGTTTTCCCTTGCAAAAAACACTATAAAATGACATTTCTTGTTCTAATATAATCAAATTTCAAGAATCCCTTGCAAAAAATAAGGTAAAGTGGACATTCGCGCGCGCAAGACGAAATCCTTCCAAAACCTTAGTGTTCGGAGCGATTTTAACATAAAAACATCAAAAAACCAATGGTTTTTCAACAAAAAAATGTCAAAATCTCATCCCGCGCGCTCTTGCGGATTCGTAGGAAACCCAACACTTTTTAAACATTTCTGTCAAACGGGCTTTTGCGAGCAACTTTTTCGAACTTCTGCGACAACGGTTGCGCACCTGCCAGGGCCATCATCCCTGTCAAATAATACCATGCGGGACACATTCGTTTTTTCTTCGCGCGCGCACGCCGAAATCTCCAAAAACCATTGGGCTTCTTAAGAATTTTAGCACCGCGCATCATAAAATCACACGAATCGCACCGTAGGTCTGTGGAAGGCTTAACAACTTCTGTGGGTTAACAAGGCTTAACAACTTCTGTGGGTGTACGAACGTAGGCTTAACAACTTCTGTGGGTGTGTACTCCACGCCAGTGTAGTAGCCACGGTCGTCCGCAGGCCACGAAGTGAAGTGTCCGAACGTCATAGGGCGGGAAGCTGGGTGTGGGTGGTGGCGAAGAGTCGTGTGGATATTTGGTAGAGCTTGCACTGCCCCCCCACAAAGTGGGGGTATTGGCTGGCGTCGCATGAAAACCCTGGCACTGGTGAGAACACTGAGCGTTCGGGTAAAGTGATTGTTGTTGTTGTTGTTGTTGTTGTTGTTGTTGTTGTTGTTGCTGTTGGACACTCATTTCTAAAACATAACGATTGGTTTCGGGAAGCGGTTCCGCGCGCTCTCGCGCCGGCCACATTTTCTTTGAAAACGAGGCTCCCGTGCAAGCGTTGGCTTGAGTCTAAAATTGGGCCCTTGGAGACCCAGCTGCGCCGACAACGGCTCCCGTTCGATATTCGCTCACAATTGGCCAGGAAGGCTCCCGAACTTAGCCAATGCGCTCTCGCTCGAGACTTTCTGGCCATTCAGGCAAGTCGGTGGAGGCCCAGACACGGCGACAAGGGCTCACGTTCGATATTTCTCCATAGGTATTCCGAGGACCCCTGGCCAGAGAGGCCCCCGAACTCAGGAACGGCGCTCTCGCTCAGGACTTCCTCGCACTTCAGTCAGTGGCCAACAAGGAAGGTAGTCCCCCCCGACAGGGGGCGCAATCGAAGACGAACTGGGCGGGTATCGAGGGTTGTGGTATACAGAATGCAAGACACGCGTGCCTGTAAGAGCGATACGTTTGAAACTGATTATGGTTGGTGTTGTTGCTGTTGTTGTTTTCGTATCACGTTCCACGAATAATTATTGTTGACCCCCCTGGTCACCATTTTTTTATGTTTCAATTAAAGTGGTTCTCCCAGGACTCGCGACTTGTTTTTATGTGTACAAGGGAAAGCGAGGGGTCACCAAACTGCGTTGTTGGGCCTCGAACTACAACAACAACGTCGCCTCTTATTTCCTCACCGTTTATTCCAACTTCGCGCTCTCGCGCGGGCGGGGCTTTCCCACAATGTATGCAAGAATCGCGCTCTCGCGTGGGACTTCCTCGCAATCGGTTCAGACGCCGCGTCCTCGACACTCAGGAATCAGGCTCTCGCTCCAGATTTCCCCACGATTTATTTGGGTACCGCGCTATCGCTCGAGACTTCCTCGCGAAAAGCGAGGGGTTACTAAACTGCGCTGTTGGGCCCCGAACTACAACAACAACGGCACCCGCTTGATACTTCGTCACCATTCATGTCCAATGCGCCCCTGCTGCCTGGTTTAGAACAGCAGCCGCTTGGCCGCCTGCGCACGGCTCCAGGGCTGAGGTCTTACGCTTCCTCCTCTTTCGTCGGAGGCGACGATGAGGGCGAATAGCCCAGGGGGAGTCATGCATTGATCCATGGGTGCCCATGGTCCATCTGTTCGGCGAGGCTCTTCGGCGAGTGCGTGTCATGCCCGCCCCTGGGCTGTTCGCCCCTCTCGCCTGCGCCGGCTTCCCACCACCTCCATCCACCCCGTGTGCTCCCTGCCCGGCGGCGCGCACACGGTGGCAGGGCGAGGGGGGCGGCCTGGTCTCCTCTGCCCCCGGGCTCCCTATGAGCAGGCGGGGGCCTGCCTTTTTGAGGGCAGCCGCTCCCCGTCGTGCGCGGTGCGAGCCCGCGGCCAGGCCAATCTTCGGCCCAGGAACGGTGCGTGCGTACACGCCGATGCTGGGCTAAGGACGGGCCTGGCCACGATCAGTGTGCACTTCGACCAAAAAAACAAACGACACCACCCCACCTACAGCCCTCCAAGTTGCGCTACGGCCCAGTGGGGGCCGTAGCGTATACCATGCAACAACCCTGGTATACGCGAAGGCCCTTGTGGCCGTAGGTGGGGTGGTGCCGTTGGTTTTCTGGTCCAGCATTGGCGTGCCGTGGGCGTCTGCGCCACACGTGTAGGTGCAATTCGCCACCGCGCAGCCCGCAGTGGCTTTGGCCGCGACGGACCTCCCGTCGCCGCGGCGAGAAAAAGTGCCATTGGCGTCGTCCCGCCCTTCGCCTGACCGCCGAGCCGCCTCGCGTCAGCCCCGCCACCCGGTGCCCCATCATGGCGGCCGCGCCTCCGGAAGGGCTGCAGGGGCCATGGCGCACGCTGCCCTCCTGCCAGCGGCTCCAGCGGGGGCTGCCCCGACGACGTGGCATGGTTCCTTCCCCGACGGCCCCGGCGGGGTCTGCCACCCGCACAACGTCGGCGGCTTTGACCTGCGTCATCCGGACCTCGTTGTTTGTAATAGGGATGGTCATCACGATGGCGAGAGGGATATTGATAGCGTTGATGGTGCTGGTTGCGGCCGCGACGATCACGAAGATGGTGACGATGAGGGTGCTTATGATGGGCGTGGTGGCGTTGGTGATGATGACGATGATGATGTCGACGACAGCGATGGTGATGTGATGATGGTGCTGCTGGTGATGGCGATGACGGTGCTCACGATAGAGCTCGTGATGATCATGATGATGCTTATGCTCGTGCTGAACGCGGTTGTGCAGTTCGACGGTGACGATGTGTGTGCCATTCTCTCACAGGGGCCACGGTCGTAGGGCAAAACGGGCGCGCGAATTTTTCAGATTTCATTAGGCGCGCACCTGCCACCTTGGAGAGCCGAGTCTAAGCGACATCGGGTTGTCCTGCTCCAGCTTGCTAGTGTGACATATAGTGGCCTTGGGGCCTGGGCAATTAGCAGGGGTGGACATGACCGACTGACACGTTATGGATTTACTCCCTCGTGCGCGACAGCAGTTCGTGAGATGGGCTCCTAGTGGGGTTGAACATGGGCTAGAAGGCCGCCGGACATCTTGCACCTGCGACGCAGTTCTGGTCCCGCGCCACCCTGCCCGTCCCTTCGGCTTGAGTCGGCATGAAAGACTCAGTGGCTGTGCTGGTGGGTGACCGTCTGAGATTTTGTGGTTCACGAGGTCTTTGGGAGCCCATAATTGGAAGGTTTGTGCCGCGTTGACGCGGCGGCTGCCCACGCGCGGGCGTCCCAGGTTAAACGTGGCCAGTGGCCCAGAATCGGCCGATGACGCGCGATCTGCGCTATCGGATAGCTTCGATCGTTCAAGGTTGAACGATCCACGCGGCGTCAGAAACCAACGGCCGCGACATCGCGTCGAGGACCAGCTGCATCACCTGAGTCGGGTACGCCATAGATTTTTCATTCCCGAGCCCAGCTTGCCCAGAGGGTTTTTGTTTTGTCCGCCTACCAGATAGTTTCCTCGCCACATTTGCCCTGGGCTTGTGTCCCTCCCGTGGTCCTTCCATGTGATTTTGCGAGCGTGCCCGTCCGCTTGATTGCATTTCAACTTGCAGAGGTATTGTCTGGAAGTTCATTCTGGGCGTGCCAGCTCACGGGCAACTCACGTCGCACTGGTAGCGGTGCTGGCAAAGATGTTAATCCGAGCTTGGTGGTTTGATTCCTGTAATGTTCACGTTGCAAGTGTTGTTGCCACTCCCTGACGCTTCGCATACCTCAGCCAGCCCATCCAGCCACCATTCCTAGGCTGAGTTGCGTGCAGGAACATACAGTGAGACAGAGATGAGAGGGAGGGCAGCCACCTATCACCTGTTCAGATGACTTGTGCCTCGGGCCTTTGCTTTCATAACCCGTCTAGGAGAAATGAGTAGGGGGATGATTAGGATGATGATGTTGCTGATGGCGATGATGGTGATGATGACGATGATGGGAAGAATGGGAGATGACGACGACGATGGCGGCAATCGGGACGACTGTGACGATAGTGTTGTTGTTTCTGGTGTTGTGAGTGGTTGACGGTGAGCAGTTTGGCAGTGATGACGGCGATAGCAGTGACGATGCCGAGGACGACCATGCTTATGACGGCGATGCTGCTGATGATGAAACTGATCACGAAACTGATCATGAAGCTGATGATGACGATACTGCTGATGATGCTGATGATGATCATGCTGATGGTGATGATGGTGCTGATGATGACGATGATGCTGATGGTGGTGATGATACCACTGCTGATGATTGTGCCAGTGCTGGTGGTGATGCAGAATTGTCATAACGTGATGTCCAAGACGATGACGTTGACGGTGGTTGTGAGGATGATACCGGCGAGTGTGATGGTGGTGGTGGTGACGACGATTGCGATGACGGTTTTGCCGATGCGATACGGTTGGTGACGATTGTGATGGTGATGAGTACCGGTGTTGATGATGAGGAGCAGGAGTTCGGAGGGGAGGTGGAGGAAAGAGCAGCAGGATGAAGAAGAGGAAGGGGGAGGATTAGGATGATGAGGAAAGGGCCAAGAGAGCAGGAGGAGGAGAAGGAGGAGGAGGAGGAGTTTAAGGACGAGGACGAGGAATACGATGACCAGCAACGTGCGATTGCTGGAAGGGAGGGGTGGGGGTCGTCGGTGCAGCCTCCAGAGGCCTGCGAGCCGCTCTACAAGGAGCGCTGGGCAAGCCTGGATCGCCAGCCCGGCTGGGAGGAGGAGGCCAGGGGGTGGCGCAGGAGGAGGGAGGGAGCATGAGGATCGAGGGTCGAGGTTTTTGGATATTCTCACTCTTTGGGGCTCCTGGGGGCCCTTCGTCGCCGTTGTTCAGATCCGCCTCGAAATTTCTTGGCCGCAGTGCACCCACCGAGAGGTCTTACCCCAGACTTCTGGCGCCTCTTATAGCCAGAGCGCAGCATTCCCAAACAGCATTTTTAAAGGTGATCGTTTTCTTATGCATTGTTTAGTCGATCGGCGCGGGCCTTCGCATCCCCTCCCTCTCCCCCCCTGGAGTAGATCTTGGTTGATTTTGGCACCCGTTTCCAGCAGGTGGGGTCTCCCCCACAGACGCACTGCTGCAAACAGTGGCACTAAGCAGAGGTCCGGAGCCAGACCCCCCCTCCCCACCCCTTTGTCGAAACGCCGAGTAAGAAAATGCTCACAAGCTGTGGTGGTTTTCAAGGAGGCCCCATGGAGCAACGCAAGGAGCCTCGAAGTGAAGGCTCAAAAGGTCCCAAGGACGGCCCCGCGAGGATGACAGGTGCAGACAGAAGCGGCCCGACCCAGGACACTTTGACCTGTGTCCGGCGCGTTGGAGAGTGCGGAGAGGCACTCCTCGATATTCCTCTCCTTCCCGGACGAGCATATGGGTTCGCCGCCGACCAGGGGGCCCTCAGAATTCGTCCTGGAAGGCCTTCGCGGGGAAGGCCTGCACGATGGTCTTGGCCAACCTCGCCTTCACCGTGACGACTTTGCCACATATTTCGCGCTTCCCGGCGCCGACGGAGAGAGACCCGCTCCTATCGATCCCAGTCGCCGAGAGCTGGCACGGAGCCCTCTCGGGTGAGAAACGGGCGGGACCACCTCTCGCGCGGCATCTCAGAGCTCAAAGTTTCGAGGATGTCTCAGGCGAGCCTGGGCAGACCACCTCGCGCGCGGCGCCGCAGAGCTCAGATTTGAAAGGATGTCTCGGGCGAGACGGGTTAGATCACTTCTCGCGCGGCATCTGGGAGCTTAGATTTGCGAGGATGTTTCAAGCGAAACAAACTGGACCACCTCTCACGCTGCATCTCGGAGCCCAGAATTTCGAGGATGTCTCAGGCGAAACGGGCCAGACCCCCTCTCACGCGGCATCCGGGAGCCCAGATTTGCGAGGATGTCTCAAGCGAGACGGGCTGGACCACCTGTCGTGAGGCATCCGGGGGCTCAGATTTTCGAGGGTGTCTCAGGCGAAACGGACCCGAGCACCTCTCGCGCGGCATCTGGGAGCTTAGGGTTTCGAAGATGTCTCAGGCGAAACGGGCTGGACCACCTCTCGCGCGGCATCTCAGAGTTCAGACTTGCGAGGATGTGTCAGGCGAAACGCTGAACCCGGACAACTCAGAAACGAGAGTTGTGAGGGTGTCTCAGGCGAAACGGGTGAGACCACACTATTTTTGGAAGGACTTCTCTGCTTTATTCCCTACCTAGGCTCTGCCTAGAAGGGTTCTTACTCTCTTAGCTTAAGGGGGCCGGGCAGTGCTACACGCCCCGGGCGGTTCCCCCGGTCCCCGCCCCGCGGTTCCCCCCAGTCCCCTGGGAGCTTCAGCTTTAGCTTTAGCTTTAGCTTAGCTGTAGCTTAGCTTTAGCTTAGCGTTTAGCGCTTAGCTTTAGCTTAGCTTAGCGCTTAGCTTAGCTTTAGCTTAGCTTAGCTTAGCTTAGCTTAGCTTAGCTTTAGCTTAGCTTTAGCTTAGCTTTAGCTTAGCTAGCTTAGCTTAGCTTAGCTTTAGCTTAGCTTTAGCTTAGCTTTAGCTTAGCTTTAGCTTAGCTTTAGCTTAGCTTTAGCTTAGCTTTAGCTTAGCTTTAGCTTAGCTTTAGCTTAGCTTTAGCTTAGCTTTAGCTTAGCTTTAGCTTAGCTTTAGCTTAGCTTTAGCTTAGCTTTAGCTTAGCTTTAGCTTAGCTTTAGCTTAGCTGTAGCTTAGCTTTAGCTTAGCTGTTTAGCTTTAGCTTAGCTTTAGCTTAGCTTTAGCTTAGCTTTAGCTTAGCTTTAGCTTAGCTTAGCTTTAGCTTAGCTTTAGCTTAGCTTTAGCTTAGCTTTAGCTTAGCTTTAGCTTAGCTGTAGCTTAGCTTTAGCTTAGCTTTAGCTTAGCTTTAGCTTAGCTTTAGCTTAGCGTTACTGTTACTACTAATGCTGCTTTCCTAGGGGTTCCAACTCCTAGGTAGGGTCGCATTGGGATACTTTTTTTGTTCCACAACAGCATCCCAGTGTGCACAGCTGTTTGGGGACATTGTTTCGGCCGTGGCAGTTGTCGGCCTCCGGGGACCCAGTTTGGCCTCTGGGGCAGTCCAGAAACGAACCTGAGTAGAAAGATGATCCCAAGGAAAGGGTCGAAAGGTCCAGGGCCCCCAGTTTTCGTTATCTTGTCCTCATGCTTCGTCTTCGTCATCGCGTGTGCCTTCGTATTTGCCTCGGTCTCCGCTGCCACAATCGATACGAATGAATGAGCCGGCTGCTCCGTCAGTGCAATCTTTTTGTGCTCGTTTTTGCGGTTGCCTATCCGATTCCCTCCGCCGTCTTCAAGTTTCTTGTCAGTTTTCAGTATTATGCGGCCTCCCCCTCCTCCGTCTCCCCTCCCGAGGGCTCAATCCAGTTCCGACGTTCCTCTAGCGTTCAAAGAGTGGCCAGCCAGCAAGTGCCCCCCTCCGGGACTCACAGAAGTCCTGAGGATACCTTGGGGAATTCAAGCGCAGACGGCAAGTGTGCCCCCAGCTGTCTTGTAGCAAGATCTTGTAGCTTCGACCTCCGCCTCCCACTTGTGAGAGATCTGGAGATCTGAGGGGACCAACACTGCGCCGTTTGGGCGAGAGACCCGGGACGAGCGGGGCTCCACACGGCCCTCGCAGAGCTCGCCTCCAGATGGGCTTCGTCCTCGGCCTCGCTCGCGCCGTCTGCTCCCTGTGCGGTCGCCGCTTGCTTGGTCTCGTCGACCTCCTCCTGTTTGTCGTCCAGGGTCCTTGGGCGCCGCTTTGATGCGTCGATCCTCGAACCATCTCTGTTGTCGTTGTTGCTGACCGCCGCGCGCGAGAGTTTTTACGCAACCGCGGGCCTCACAATACATGAGAAGGACAGGTGAACGCCCCATGCCAGGTGATAGCCAATCTCTTCGTCGTCGTTCTTGATTAGTTCGTCTGCTTCGCCTCACCGCCGTCGCTGCCTCTTATTTGCCGTCGCCGTTCTCATGACACGTGTTCTCATCATTGTCCCCGTCTTCCTCTCCCTGCCTGCCCTACTTGTCCCGTTCCTGCCATCGTCGTCGCGCTGATCGCTGCATCTGCAATCGCTGCTGCCGCCGTCGTGGTCGCCCTCGCCGCCGTCGTCGTCACCACTGTCTCCGCCCTCCGCCCTCGAGGTCTCTCGCATCGTCACCTCTTCCTCACCCCCCATTCTTCGGGGCCCTCCCTCCAGCGTCGTGGTCGATCGTCGTGGTCGTTGCCGCCTTCCAGGGGGCGGCTTCGTCCTCAGGTCGCCCGCCACGGGGCGCGAAGATACTCGCGCTTCGCCCCTCGCGGCCTGTGCTGGGGAGCTTCCCTTCACCGCGAGGGACGGCGCGGGAGCGCGACAACGAATCGCGCCTCGCGCGGCGCACCCCCCCCCATCGGCAGCCGCCCCAGAAGCGCCACCTTCTCCTGCTCCTGCTCCTGCTGCTCCTGCTCCTGCTGCTGCTCCTCCTCCTCCTCCTCCTCCTCCGCCTCCTCCTCCTCCTCCTCCTCCTCCTCCTCCTCCTCCAGAGATGGCGGCCAGGGACGCCCACCCGGCGGGTTCGTCCCGTGCCCCCGCTCCTGCAGGTTCTGGGCCACGCGCGCCTGTCGCGCGAGGGCTGGAACTGCTCGTCGGTGCAGGCGTGCGCTCTGGGTCAGCTCTTCCTGGCGCTGGACTGCCGCGGGGTCGATGCCCTCGTCGCTCCTTCAGAGGGGTGGGGTGCACGGGCCTCCGGGCTCCTCCTCCTCCTCCTCCTCCTCCTGCTCCTGCTCCTGCTCCTTCTTCTGCCTCGAGCTCCTGCTCCCCGATTTGACTGTCTCTCCTCCTTCCCCCCTCCTTCCCCGCTGCTCGTTCTGAGGACGATGAACCGTCCCCCTGCTGGGCAACTGCCCAACGAGCCGAGCAGTCCTGGGGCATTGCAGATGTGTCGCCCGCGGCCTCACGACGTGTACCCTTTAGATGATGCCGTTCAGCGGAGTCGATGGGCGAACTGAACAACCTGGCACGTGCATTGGGCTCCATGATTCGCCCCATGCGCTGCGTGTTGCAGAATTGCCTCAGCTGGCGCTTGCATCGCAGTTATCCCAGCGGGTGTGGTAAGGACATGGAATCGATGACAGCCAACTGCGGATAGGCTGGGTTCCGCGTTCTGGGCTCCAGGATCTTCCAGATGCTAATTCTTAAGCAGGGATTGTTGTTTCGGGGGCGCAGGCTGGTTGTAAGTTACCACTGGTTGTTGCTTCGAGAGCGCTGATCTGGTGTAATGTGTTAGGGGCTGTGCCATGGGGAATTCGACCATGATGTAATGTACTATGAGTTGTTGCCTTGGGGGTGCCATGGCGTATTGATGTACGTACCTGGCGTAGTTCATACGGCGAACTGTTGCGTAAGGAGCGCGAGCCTGGCGTACGTGATTTGGAATTGTGGCCTCGGGAGTGCCAGTGGGTATTTTTTTGCCAGAGGTTTTTGCCCCTGGAGCGCTGGCGTCTAGTACGTCATAAGGGGTTGTGGCTTCGAGTGCGCAGGCTTGTTGCAGTTTGCAGTGGGATTGTTGCCTCGGGAACGCACCGACGGCGTAATGCAGACGGGATTGTGGTTTGGGGAGCGTGGGCCTGGCGTAAGTTACAAGGTGTTGTGGCCTCGGGATCGCGAACCTGGCGTAACTTGTATCGAGTCGTAGCTTGGGGGTCGCGGGTACGGAATTCGCCGGCCCAACGGGCCAGGGCGTGCTAAGATCTCCGGTAACTGGTTAACAGTATTAACAGTATTTCTAGTTCGCGCGCGCGGGGCGGCCCCTGGGGGTCCCCCGGCGAAAAGTACCCCGACCAACGCCCGACCGCCGCCCGATCGCCGCCCGACCAAGTCTACTCAGAGATGGTTTTCCTTCTGGGTGCGGCCTCTCAGGCTCCCCAGAGCGCGCTCAGAGTGCCCCAAGAGGCCCCCAAGACTGCCCAAGAGGCCCCCGAGACGCCCAAAGAGCGCTCGAAGACGCCGAAGATGACCCCAAGACGGCCCAAAAGGCCCCCAAGACAGCCCAAGAGGCCTCCAAGACGCCCCAAGAGCCTTCCAAGAGGCCTCCGAAGAGAGCCCCAAGAGGCCAAAATCGTTGATTTTCATTGGTTTTTTCGATGTTTTTTGTGTTCTGGCTTTTTCGGCTTCCGGACGCTCCAAGACGGCCCAAGAGGCCCCCAAGACCGCTCCAAGACGGCCCACGAAGCTCCCAAGACGGCGCCGAAACGACCCAAGAGAGCCCTCAAGACGGCCCAAGTGCCGCCCAAGACGGACCAAGAGGCCCCAAGACGGGCCCAAGAGGGACTCAGGAGGGATACCGAGAACTCAAAAATGGAGCCCTCCGTCCCAGAAGGCGCCCAGGAGGTCCCAAAGAGGCCCCAAGAGGCCTCCAAGAGGCCCCAAGATGTCGCCAAGAGGCCCCAGGAGACTCCCAGGAGGCCCAAAAGAAGCCCCAGAAGGCTTCAAACATGTCTCCCAGGCGCCCCCGAACGGCCTCTCAACAGACCCCAAGAGGCCCCCCAAAGAAGCATCTTGACGACGACTCTATTTCGCCCCATCGAGAGACGACCCCCAGGGAACTGCTTCACCATCAAAACTCCCCACGCAACGCGTCCGAACGACACCCGCCCCCAAGAGCGCAACATGGGCAACGAACACACAGACAAAAACCAGCGATGCCATATCACGGGCCGGCGGAATGAGCGAAGCGATTCAATAATCTAAGACGGATTGCGGGTTGGGGACCCTGAGTTTGGTGTAATGTACGAGGGGTTGCGGCTTCGGGGACGCAAGTTTGTTGTACATTGGATGAGATTGTAACCTCGGGGCCGCGAACCTCGGATGATGTATCAGGGACTGTGGCTTCGGGGGCGCGAACGTGATGTACTTTGCAAGTGGTTGTGGCCTTGGGGACGCGAGTCAGGGTAAATCAATAAGGGTTGTGACCTGGGGAGCCCCGGGAGTGCGACTCTGGTGTAATTTTCAAGGGGGCTGTGGCTTGGAGCGCGGGAATCCGTTGTATTTTTATGTGTCTCAGGCCCCCCCCCCCAGAAATTCAGGCAGCGCAATTCTGGCGTGGTAATGTAGCGGCCCGTTTTTGTCTCCCCCCTTCGCGCGGATGTCAATCATTAGGAGCGTGGGGCTCGACAAGAGCACATCTTCAACTGTGAGCTGGCACCTGGGACTGTTGCAGTCGGCGGCGAGCCCGGGGGGAAGTGAGAAGGAGAAGGCCTTCTCAGAAGACTCGGAAGTCCCCAGGCCTGCTGAGAAGTGTTCTGAGCCTTCCTCAGAGACAACCAACAAAAACTTCTCGGGAGGCGCGAGAGCTTCTGGGAAGCCCCGCCGCCTTCTGAGAAGGCCGTCTCCTTCTCGCTTCCCCCCTCGCTCGCCGCCGATGCAGGGAACTGGAATCATTCCGCCTCGCAGCCTGTGGACTCCCGAGGGGGGACCGGCGGAGTGGCACGGCGGCACGTTGTACAGCCCCCTCCTCCCCGCTGCGTGACGGACAGCTCGGAGCTGGTGTAGTATGGAATCGGGCATGCCCCTCTACAGGAGGAAATAAGATATACAAATCATAAAACATAGTTTGGGGACGAAGTTCCGACTATGTTTGACTATTCTTGAATATTTGTGCTGACCAGTTTCCGTTGTTCTGCAAACATCCGCCTGTAGGAGGACATGCCCGACCTAATAGTCGCCTTGCTTGCACAGAATTTTGTGCCCAGCTGCCTGCTGTTGACGGGGCGTCGCCTCTCGGGGGCTCTCTGGACGCTTCTGGAGAGCTTGTCTAGGGTCTCTCGCTGGATATGCGTTTCACGTCGGCTTGAGTCTTTCTGTTGCATGCCACATGGGTTCTGATTGCCCGTGTGTGCACACGCGGCGCCGTAGCGGCAACGGGCCACACACGCAGTGCGTTTTCCTTCAATTTCGGCGACCACGCTGCCCACTCGTTTTGAGTGCCTTGTATTCGTTTCGGGTGCCAATCGACTTCTGCTCCTCCCTTCTGGCCCCCCCTCCCTTCGTCTCCTCATTTCTCCAAGCCGTCTTGTGCTGGGTGCTCCTTTTGAATAATGCAGTCCTGTTCCTCTCCGTCTCCTCCCGCCCCCTCCCTTGCCTTCTCCTCCTCCTCCTCCTCCTCCTCCTCCTCCTTCCCTGGGAGCTTCCAGGCGCGGAGCAGTCGCCACGTTGCTGCGCTCCTGAGAGGTCCAGCGGCGCAACGCCCTTCGCAAACCGAGCTAGACATCGCTTGGCCCCGATGCTGCCAGGCTCGCAACTGTCGCCGCCTTGCTGCGCCCCGGGGGGGGAGGGTCCAGCAGGGTGACGGCTTACCCACACGCAGCTGGACTTCGCGCTCTGTGTGTGCTGCCAGGCGCGCAGCAGGCGCCACTTTGCTGCGTCCCCTGGGGGTCCAGGGGAGTGGCGCCCGCCGCACAGACGCGGCTTGGCATCGCCCTTCCCGGCCGCCTCAAAGGCGCGCAGCTGTCGCCGCTCTGCTGCGCCCTTCGGGGGGGGGGGGGGTCAGCGGCGAGGCGCCCGCCACGCAGACCCATCGGGCCACCGCTCGACTTGGCTGACGCAATGCGTGCAGCTGCCGCCAGTTTGCTGCGCCCCACGGTGTTCAAGCGGCGTGGCGACTTCACACAGGCCCACGGTGCGGAGGTCGTTTTCCTCTGGTCTTGCCAGCCGTGCTGCCGCCTTTTTGCCTTACCCCCTGGAGGTCTAGCGGGGTGGCGTCCTCGCAGATTGCAGCGGGACCTCTCCTTCCAGTGGTGATTGCAGGCGCCGAATTGTCGTCCTTTTTTCTGCGCCCCTGCGGAGCTCAGCGGGGTGATTGCTTATACGCAGGTTCAGCTAGTCCTCGCCCTCCCTGTGGATTGCCAGACACGTAGCAGTCGCCTCCTTGCTGACATTCTCCCCTGTGTGCTACCAGGCACGCGAGAGTCGTCTCCTTGCTGACATATTCGTGTTCCTTCTGTCTTCCCGTCTTCCCCTCCATTTCCTTTCCTTCGGTGCCGCCTCGTGTAGGTGCCATGCAGCGTGCAATTCGTAAGCCCCCCTCCTGTGTAGATTCCAACCCGGAGCAGCATGATATTTTCCAAGTGGTTTGTTCTGGATGGGCCAGTTGATCTAGCCACTTGCTGCATATGAGTGGGGTACGCTCCTGGGCTCATTTCCCACCCCCGCTCGGTCACAGTAGTAGGCGAGCAATTGCCCTCTCTGTGGCCACGTACAGGCGGGATTGTTCATTTGTACTTGCGCTCTCTCCTCGTCGCCTCCCCTCCGCCCCGAACGAAGCAGCAAAGCAGCCGCAAACGGCAGCACGGCATCAGGAGCAACAGCCAGCGGCTCAAGCAGCACAGCTTCCTGTTGTTGGGGGAACGGAGAATGACATAAACATTACAACTCGGAGGTCCGCGCGGATTTCTCGGATCCGCGCTGGACCGCCATGGCGGCGCCTCCGGCGCCGCCCCTGGCGCGCTCCGCGCGCGAGGGAGGGGGGTCCAGCGCCGATCCGAGAAATCCGCGCGGGCCTCCGAGTTGTTATGTTTATGTCATTGTTCGTTCCCCTAGTTGTGCCCCGCGCGCAGGTCTTGCGCGGGATCGTGTGGCCCTGGGAGCGCGCGGGCCTCTCTACAGGAGGGATATCGAAAAAATAGTCAAC